TATATATATATATATATATATATATATATATATATATTATAACACATTTTCACAAGCATTGGATGCTACTTGTAACCAGAAATAATTGCTGGTGTAGCAGGAAATTTGCAACAAATAATTTGAATAGCAACAGGTATTTACTTAACACGTCTTGTTGCATCAATTAAAACAGAACAACGTAGTCGAAGACTCACGGGTTTTGATTTGTCAATGTTCATGTCCCGAGCAAATGGTGACAATGTCTGGGATTCTGAGATTGGACCATGGGCGTTTAACTGATCCAGCAGCATAAAGTGGCAATGTGGTGCAGAGAATGCTGGCAAGGAATCAAATGTCAAAGAAACTAGCAGAAGAAATGGATGTATCTAAAAGGCACGTACATAGAAAATGTATGAACTTGCAAAGAACCACATAAGGAACAACAGGGAAGCAATCGACAAATTAATAGATGTGGTGCTAGAAAAAGAGACTTTTTCATGCTTGATCCTCCTTACTCCTCTAGAAAAGCATATGAATTAACACATCTTCTTGTTGCACCAATTCCTATTCTTACTACTCCTCTGACCTTTCTCCCTATAACAATTGATTTGTTTTCTTTTGATGCTCTCTTCAATGAAAAGTAAGTGTTCTTCCCTTGCTTCAAGATTTGTTCTTTTATATATATGCATATATCTTAGTTACAATTGATAAGATGAATTGTAGATGTTCTGTAAACCATGACAACGTTGTAGAAAAATATTGTTAATTATGTATCCAACTGAACTCATACCAAAAGAATTTGACTACCGAAAATGAAAGATCGGATCTTTCTTTCTTTTTGTAATGTCCTGGCACTCATTTCAGTCATGTTGTATACACCAATGTATCAGTTGTAAGATCTTCATTTTGGAGTCTCTTTACTTCTAGCTGGTGGAAGTTCTATGCTTTTCAAGATCTCAAGATTCTCTTCATCTTAAGGTTAGAATTAATAGATTTTGTCCAACTTGGACACAGAGATTTTTTGTATGGTAAAAGATATGTACCTTGCGAAAAGAAAGAATTTGTTGTCACTAATAGCATTCGGGGCACTTGTGTTGCTTGTTCATTGCCACTATTGGCATCAGGAACCTAGTAAATAACAACACATAGATAACATAATTTCGTTATAAAGCTAAACTTTAAGAAGGAAAAAGTTAAACATATTTCATTGTTTTGAGGCCAACATGATGTGGTAGGAGCATATTTACACGACTTATCTCATCCATGATAATTCTAAAACGAAGGGCTGAAAGTTTTAGAGAGTACAAAATCTGACTATACATGACAATACAAGTTCAAGGAGATGAAATATTTATAGAATCAACAGATTAACTGTAAACACAACAAGAAGTATTTAAAAAAAAATGAGAATTCAACTCAACTTAACTAGGAAGGAAGAAAAAACAGGTTTGAAACATAAATCAGTACACAAGTACTAAAATTCAGCTGCTGCAATTTGCTACTGTCAATTACTCTTATCAAGAGAAGTGAACAAAATAAGAACGACCAAGTATATTAGATCAGAATTAATATACAGGTAATAGTACACAGCCCCAGAACTTTAATACAACAAAAAAAAAGACACCAATGTACTCCGATAAGTGGGGTCTGCGGTGGTAGAGTGTATGTAGACCTTACCCCTACCTCGAGGAGGTAGTGCTCGGCTTGAGTAACGAAAAAATACCGAAGTAAAGAGGACATAGAAAGTAATAGGGAAAACAAATCGTCGCATTCAAAAGAGAGGCAATAACAATAACCAGCCAATGAGATAACTGAAGCACAGTAAATAACGAGGAGGAATAAAGGTTATAAGCCGCGAATATATGTTGAGTACAGTGTTGGAAATTCTGAAAAGAGTTGAGCTCTTCTATAACTGCCTGAACTTAGAATTTCTGCCCAATTAATTTGATTTTAATGGCAACTAACAAGGTCCTTCACTCCAACAGAACTTCTTGCCTCTCATTGGATACATTGGTCATAACACAGCTTTTAAATAGCTCACTAAAAGGGAACATAATACATGACAAAACATAGTAACAAGGCATAAACATATCAGACTATTCCATCTCAGGCTAATTTTATTATTTAAATTAAAAGCTGTAACAATGACAGAATACTAACATGTTTAATAGCTCCAAAGATGTTGTTTTGAACAATAAAAGCTAAGTCATGTAAGATGCTGAGTTACTATCCTTTATAGTACCAAAGCAATAACAACAACAAACCCAATGTAATCCCACAAATGGAATATGGAGTGGGTGGTGTGAACACAAACCTTACCCCTACCCTGTGAGGATAGAAAGGTGGTTTCTGAAAGATTCTCGACTCAAAAAAAAGGCATAACAAATCGAAGCAAAGGAAACAACTGGTCATAATAAAGTAGTGAATAAGGGGACAAGCTTACCACTCTCCAAAATAGTCGCAATTTATTTTTTTACACTTGCAATAAAGTGTAATAATACAAAGTACCCCAAGTGTTTTACTAATATTCAGGGAATACTAGTATAGATCCAAAAACTTGAGTAAATGAACATGAAGAAATATGCAACAAACAGTGAAAGCAAACTCATGTTTTACTAATGATTCATTCTTGCGGTACAAGTGGAAAGACTATTCATGCTTTCATACATGGAGTCCTAGCCTCATAATAGTTTAATACAACTTCTACTATAATATACCAACATGAAATTGGCATCCAAACACAATCCTACAAGGACAACACTAAGACATTTAGCTTAAGCAGGTGATGGCAAATCTTTGGAGCCTACGAGCTGTGTATACTTTTCGAGTTGTTGTACATCACGTGACAACTCTCTAACAGAACAAGCTCATTTGCAGGAATATTGTTTCTCCATTGACATTGACAAAATTCTTCTAAATAAAACAGTGAACACTTATTTGACTATCAAAGTTCACAAATCAAAAAATCAACGAAGCGACATAATTCACCTGACATTCAATAGGAGAACATACGAAATCCCAAACAAAATCAGTTTAAAAAATAGAATCAATTTTACAATCAGATGACAGGTCTTCGAACTCTCACTGTTAATACAATACTTCTTACCTAACATCCACAGTAATTTGCTCAATCCGCATAAGATCCACAATAATCAAATCAACTTACTTAATTCAAATACATATAATCGATATCCACAGAAGTACAAAAACTCACATGATATTCAATAGAAAATATACAAACTTCCAAACAAAATCAGTTTACTGATCATCTAGAGCTAATAGAACTCTCACTTTCAATACAATATTGAATTACCTTCTATTGAGAGAACTAACAGAACTCTCACGGTTAATTTCAATCCGCGTGAGATCTACAACAATCGAATCAATTTTTTCAATACACAAGTCTCTCTTTTAAGAGTAGTAATATCATATTACGGATGAGCACATAAATTTACATGATATTCAACAGGAGAATACCAAATCATGAATAGCGAAGGGATTTTCAGTTTCTTACCTCTAATTTTTGACATATCTTAGCTACTGATGATGATGAATGACGAATCGAATGAAAATTTCTGAATGTTGATTACAGATTTTTGAGCTGAACTTACAGAAGCTATGGCGATTATGGATTTTGAAATACCCTGACAGAGAGAAGAGAGCGATAGAGAAAGAGATCGTCAATTTGAATTGGCGGGATTTTTATAGAGAAGTGAAATAATGGGAGGGAAGATGAATTGTATCGGTGTTAAAAAGGGGCGGGTCGGTTCACGAAATGTTCACCCGGTTGTTTCGTGGTCCAAGTTGGTTACCGGGTTCGGGCTCAGGTTTTCAATTGGGCTGGGTTTATCCGATTCCATCTCATATCAACCAAATTTAATTTAATTTTAATTTTTCAAACGTATTTAATACTTGTATTAAAATTAATTGATTGTTAAAACTACGTAAGTCCAACTAGAGTCAGTCCCACTGTTTTAAAAGACTCTTTCGGGACTCGCCCTAGGACGGGGCTCTAGCAAAACGCCTCGAGACTCAAGTGTGGGACTTTATTTTACAAGACTTACGTCCTAAGCACGCCCAACGCTCACAGATATAATAAAAATTATGTGTTAAAATCTTTAAGTAACATTGTTGACCCTCATAACTCTTGAATAAATGAATGATACGTAGCTTTTTAATCTATTAAGATAACAAGATTGAGAGTAACTCAAACAACAAATGTAGTATCACATATCTACTATTTGGTAATACTATGAATATAATTATATATTACGTAACATTTCTCTTTAAAATATATAACGGAATTTTACTTTTTCACTTATCATTGGTTTTCTGATTTTGCCATATGTATCAAAATATCATATTTTATTTAACTACAGTATGGTATACATATTCTTTTTAGAAATAATGATTCTTTTATTATTAAAAAAATAAAGATATTAGATTAGTTATACTTGTATAGTCATGTTTTATTATTATTGGTGTAATAATATTTCTCAAAAAGTAATTATATCACTTTTTTCGTTATTATAGATTATCAATACTTATTAATCATAATATAATTTCTGTATATTATAGTTTTTTCATAAAGAATTAGTTGTGAAATCATCGAAAGGAATTTAATTAGTAATAAAACTATAAAATTGAATATACATGAGACTGTGCCCCGTAGATTCATGGGACTTACGCACCGTGTCTCGGAGCTTAGGTCTCGCCCCTTACGGTATAAAACGTCTCGCTTCACATTCCGCCTTTTAAAACACTGGTCAGTCCAATTGTGAACTTTCATGTTTGTCAGCTACAAAAGTCGATAAATAACTATAATTCTTTTTAAAATCAAAGAGTCGATAATTTTGTATGCTTAGACCATCTTTTCTCAAAACCTTTATAATATAAAAATTGATCGTAACTTATGATTGAAATATTTGAAAACTATTATTTTATAAAAATAAGAATTTTGTGACTCGCGCAACTAAATTTACTAGTATATCAAAATGGTCAAAGCTAAGTGGTTGTTCCAAGTTTTTAGCTTCTCTTTGAATAAAAAAATGTTTAGTGAAAAGAATTTTAGTTCAAAAATTCATTTCTAGCAATTTTTCTTAAGTTTGGGAAGTCAATAGCACCCACTTAAAAAAAAATTATCGAGAAAATAATAAGTTCAATTGATATATTAAAGAAATACGTATATTGAATACCAATTTCTATTTATTTAATATCACCAAGTAATAGAGGTAATAATTTTATACATTAGCAAATTGACAGCACTCTATGAGAAAATATTTATAAAAAAAACTAAATATTTTTATAAAATTAGCAAATTGTATATCCTGTATGCATATACACACAATCATTAGTATCTCATAATCAATGTATAAAACGTTTGAACTACGCGATTTATGAACAACTTTAGCAAACACTATTTAAAGCTTGTTTGGGTAGAATTAACTTCTTTTTTCTTTTCAATTTTTTTATTATTTAACTTTAAAATAAATATTTAAATAATTTTATTTTTATTTTGTTAAAATTACTTAAAATATCTTAAGTAAATCAATCCACACAGGCTCTTACGTATTGTATTTCTGAAATATAATTTACAAGTTGCAATGAAATTTACACGTGAAAACGAAATAATCAAGAGTATATTTGGTAGAAATATTATAGAAAATAATGCATGTATTAAATTTGTATATTACTATTTCCTCTTTAATACATATTTTTTATGGGCGACTTTCACATATAGAAAATACAAAACTCATATTTGTATGTTATAGATTGCGCTTCATAGCAAACACATATATGTATAATTCGCTATACATACACAATTGAATCGAATTGTATAAAATGAGAAAGAGAGAAATTATTTACAATTTGAATTTGATAGAGAAAGGCAAAAGAGACTTGGGCGGGAAAATATTTTTAAATTATAAGTGTATATGACGATTATATACAATTTGAATTTGTATAAAATGAGAAAAAAGGAAGGCAAAAGAGACTTGGTTGGAAATATACAATTGAATCAAATTGTATAAAACGAGAAAGAGATAAACTATATACAATTTAAATTTCTATAAAACGAGAAAGAGAGAAAGACAAAAGAAACTGGACAGGGGAGTATTTTTATTGTATAATTATAAGTGTATAGGACGAAAATATATATATTTGCATTTGTATATACAATTTTCTCTCGCTTTACACAAACATAAACGCAATTTATTCATTTCGTTTCTGTTTGTATAAGCGAGAGGCGCGAGGATGGCGAGCGAGATTAGGGAGAGTGGCGAGCGAGATCTGGGAGAGAGGAGAGTGGAGAACAAAATATATGTATTTATACATTTTTCTCGCTTTATACAAATAGAAACGATAAATTCTTTTTAAAATCAACGTTCTTAAAATCAAAGAGTCGACAATTTTGTATGCTTAGACCATCTTTTCTCAAAAAAAATTTAATATAAAAATTAATCTCTAGATACTAACTTATAATTGAAATATTGAAAACTATCATTTTATAAAAATATGTAAGAATTTTGTGACTCACGCGGCTAAATCTACTGGTATATCAAAACGATCAAGCTAAGTGGTTGTTCCAAGTTTTTACCCTCTCTTTGAATAAATTGTTTAGTGAAAAAGAATTTTACTTTAAAAAGTCATTTCTAGAAATGAATACAATTTTTCTCAAGTTTGGGAAGTCCATACCACACACTTAAAAAAAAATTCAAAAAAAAAAAACAAACTTTTCTTTAAAAAAAAATAAGTTCAATTGATATTATAGAAGTACGTATATTGAATGTGAATTTCTATTATTTTTTCAAATTACCAAGTAATAGAGATAATTATTTACACTAGCAAATTGATAACACATTATAGGAAAATATTTTTTTTTAAGTAATAGAAATTACTCAAACTGTAAATAAATTAATACAGCTGTTAAATTTACTAAACATGCATACATATACATACATTCATTAGTATCTCAAAAACAATGAATAAAACGCGTTTGATGATTTCCATTTATGAACAACTTTAGCAAACACGATCTAATGCTTGTTTGTGTTTTCTTTCAAATTTTTATTATTTAACTTTAAAATAAGTATTTAAATTTATTTATTTTTTTGTAAAAAAAACTATTAAACTACTTGAGATATCTAAAATAAATCAATCTACACACGCTCTTACGTATTATGTTTCTGAAATATAATTTACGCGTTTCGATGAGATTTACACGTGAAAATGGAATAATCAAGAGTGCATTTGATAAAAGATATTAGAAAATAATGCATGTATTAAATTTGTACATTACTATTTTCTTATTTAACACATATTTTCAATTTATGTATAACTAATATTGATATAAAATTCTAAGTTGAGTGATTTTAATTTATTGATACAAAATAAAATTCAATGACTTTGTTAGATAAATTTTCAAAGTTGAGTGACATCTTGAAATATCAACTCTAAATAGAGATATCGTTCACCATTTATATAACACACTGTAGAAATTAAATTATAAAATTAGTTACTAATGATCAAATAGATTGTCGTAAATGACAAAATTAACTGATTTTGGACAAAAGAATCAAAAGAAAAAAACAGCATAAATCATTTCATCAGATTTGTCACAAAGTCATAACATGTCTGAGATATCAATAACATTGTTAGAAAATAAACAATATATACTACGACAAAAATATCATTAGCGATAATTATTTTTTACTTGTCATTAAATATATATATATTTTTTATAGCAATTAGCATTTTTTATATATGTGCCTAAAGCTTTTAGTGATATTAGTTCTAATGATACTTAATTAATACCGATAAAGACTTTAACTCTCTTTATTACTATCAATATTTATTACGCTAAAAATTATTTTTGTTATACTGATAGGGTATCTACTAGGTATCTTTGATACAAATGAAAATGCTTTTCTCTTGACATACATGAATTTCTTACTTAATTTATTATATTCGATACGTAAAAAAAAATCTAAAATTATTTATGTATAATTTAGATGAATATAATCAAAGGAATAACTATGAAATACGTGTGTGGGGTGGTGGGGATCAGTGCTACGTGTTTGGATGGAGATGAAGACGAGGTGTGTTAGAAAATAAGGAGGCACAATCCATTAGGGAAGTTTTTTGTAGTATTCATTTTCAATGTGATAGAACTAATTAAACATTTATTACTCTCTCTGTTCAGAAATATTTGTCATGTTGTGTTTATTAAAAGTCAATTTAATTAATTTTCAAAGGTAAATTAGATCATTTTAATTTAATATTTCAAACAAAAAAAATTAGATATTTTAAAACTATATGAAAAGTACTATAAATTACAATTTTCTCATATTAGTATGATGAAAAAATGAATCTTAAAATGTTAGTCAAAGTTTTTATGATTTGACTCTAAAAATAGAAATCATGACAAACAATAACGAACGGAGAGAGTATGAAAATATAGTAATATCGTACATAAAGCATCATTTCATCTTAAAAGGTCTAATGCAGATAATCTATCTTAATTTTGTCATTAACGACGATTCCTATAATTCAAATATATATTTGATTTATAAATCATAAAAAGACTAACTTTAATATACTCATACGTAATAGGCACTAAAGCTCTTGCATATACAGAAAAATAACAATTTTGGGGGTAATCGACTAATTTATTTTTATTTGATTCTAAGAAAGAAGAGTTTCAAATGAATATTTTAATTACTTATTTAATTTTCTATTGGAACCTCCTAATACTACAAATTTGGTGATTAGTCAAATATTGTTTGCTTGTAAGATTAAAATTGAGATCCACTTGGCTCTTGGAACGAAATGGCACCATAACATCTACTTTCATACTGAAAAAAATAATAATTTAAAAGTTCATGATTTTGAAAAAGTCAATTTTTAATGGGCTTTTTAATTAAACTTTTAAATTAAATTAGTTTCATAAATTAAGCCGGCAGAGGACGGCAGTAGTGTTAGCCTATCCAAATGACAAATTATTAAATTGTCATTTTTTTCAGGTTTAAAAAGGAGTCCACCAAATTAAAATTTATCAATTGAACTTAGTTTAATTTATATGAATTAGAAGCTAATGGGATCATCTTTCAGTTGCTGTGGTGATGAAA